AATACTCGGAGTCTAACTTGGAACAAATCCGAGTGACTTTGTCCTGCAGATGCTCCGAAAATTCCTCCACACAACCCTGCAAATGAACCCCCACATCCCCCTTGCCAAGGAGGGACCTAGTGATCCTGAACAGGGCCACCAGGCAGCATTCTACGGATGCGATAAGGGCGGAGAAGTATTGGCGCTTCGCCGCTCTTATCGCCACAATGTAGGCCTTGATAGCGGCTCCAACCTGTGTTCGGTCGGATTCGGTCTTTGTCTTCCTCCAGCGGCGCTCTAGACATCTCTTGACCCTCTTCAGCACCCTCAACTCCTCCGTAAATCACGGGGAGTGTCGGGACCGATGTGGCAAGAGAGGTCACGTAGGCGCGATCCTGTCCAAGGCCCCGGCCGCCTCCCTGTTCCAGGTAGCAGCCAAGGCCTCCACTGGACCGTGCAGTAGGTCCACAGGAATACCCCCCAGCTCCCTCTGAAACCCCAACGGGTCCATCAGGTGCCGGGGGCAGACCAATCACATGGGTCCTGCCTCCCTGCGGAGGGGGGTGGCATAGCAGACACTCAGGGTCATCAGGACGTGATCTGACCATGACAATGGGGAAAGCTGTAAATCTCCCCTCAGATCACTTAGCCATTGCTCCAACAAGAAGACCAAATCCAGCACGTGGCCACTGTCTCAGGTTGGGTCCCACACAATTTGAGACAGGTCCATGGTTGCCATGGTAGCCATCAACTCCCGAGCCACATCCGAGGACCATCCCAGGGACGGCAGGTTGAAGTCCCCCAGAACCATAAGCCAGGGGAACTCCATCCTCAGCCCCAGATGGCCTCCAGCAGCTCAGGCAGGGAGACTGCCACGCAGCAGGGAGGCTGGTACAATAGCAGCACTCCCAACTGTTCGTGGAACCCAACCAACGAACAGTGTCTCACAGCCAGAAACCTGTGGAGCAATGCCCCTGAAGGCCACCAGAGATTCCCGGATGACAACAGCCACCCCTCCTCCCCTGCCCTGGCATCTCAGCTGGTGCCACACCATGAACCCCGCTGGGCACATTTCCGAGAGGGGCACCCACCCCTCAGGCCCCAGCCAGGTCTCAGTAATGCATGCCAGGTCTGCCCCCTCTTCAGTGATCAAGTCACATCTGAGGGGGGCTGTGATGGAATGGACTTATGAAGGCCAGGCTCAGGGAGATAAGCATGTTCTTAGCCCCCA